CCTACGTTTCCATGTCGCCGATCGTCTGATGTCAAGACAGCACAGTGTCGTTCTTTTTTGTTTCACAAGTGTAGTCGTGCTTGTTTGTATTCGTATATTCCTCGCCCTGTAAGTTTATGCTTTGTGTCCATCACACGTGTAACATATGCACAGAGACGTACATAAGGGTTTACGCATACTGCATATACATGATATTATAGGTGGCTTTCAGGCAATGCTGTGGAATAGAAGGGTTCCTTCGGACTAATGGAGTCAAATTTAAGGGGGATTCTTTCCGACGAAAGCCAAATCAGGTGGATCTTTGGAGGGGCTACACCCTAAACCCAACTGAACCCTAAACCCTACTGAACCCTAAACCCAGAAGACTACGAAAGCGAGTTCATTCCAAGAGTTTCGCCCACTTGGGGCATGCAGAGGACTGACGTGGTCGCCTGCCTTGCCCAAGATCCCTTGCCAAATTATACGATACGATACTATACACATACATGATGTCCTGCTGAAAAGGTAGGCTTCTGGAGCTTAAGGTACTGCTTGAACTCAGGGATTAGGGCCGGGAGGGGTCATTATTGCAGGGTGGGGGACAAAAGATGTAAGGTTCATAAGCTTAGGGCACCTTGTCGTCATGTAAAGCACTTCCAAGGACCTATCCTAATCCACCCTCCTTTAGTTGGAGGTTCCGCCCTGAAAAATATCACTAATGAGTATGCCCATTGAGCTATACTTTAGTCATTAGTCTACCCCAGACCGTATTCCATTTAATACAGGGCCGCTCTATACAAACAAATAAACCAATTCTATGCAGTATAGAGCCCCTCATTAAGTAGCTGACGACATCCGATGCCCTCCGACATAGGCTGCTGTCAGCCCGGGGATTCTCGTCCCTCCCTGAATCCTGTCACCCTAAATTTATAGGGGATTTGGGGGTTTTCATCCTAGCCTCCTCAAACCCTACCCCAAATCCACAAATGTATAGGGATTAGGGGTTTCTCTCATCCTTCACTCTTAAAAACCCTACCCTACATCCACAACCCTAACCCTTTAACCCTAGACCCTAAACCCTAAACCCTAATAAACCCTAAACGCCTAAACCCTAAACCTTAAATCCGCAACCCTAAAGATGGCCCTTGCTAAAGAGCCTTACGCCCGGAGAGGCCTTGAACCAAACGCCGTAGTCGCTCAGCATCGTTGAGCCGCTTCGGCGGAGGTTTCGCAGCGTCGCGGCACAGGATGTTGCTCGCCCAATCCTAGGCGGTCTGCTCTGATTTGTCCAGGACCCTAGCGAAATGAAAGTATGAAAGGTTAAGCTTTTGGGTTACGTAGAGGTTCATGCCCCTGAAATGTTAGAGGAGGCCTACCTGGTATGCTCATTTGGAGGTAATGAGAAGCGGCTGGATCCTTGTGATTGCTTGCCTGTTTGTGCCCTTGCAAGGACAAGGCCCTACAAGCCCGAAACCTAAAGTAGCTTCTCTGAGCCCGAATAAAATCCAAACAGGAACCGTTTTGAACCTTTCTGACCTGGATCCATGAACCCCAAATCCCTAAACCTCAACCCCAATCAATCCTTCCTTCGACCCTAAAACCCCCGAAACCCCAAGACCCGAAACCCTAAACCTTGAACGACCAGACACCCTAAACTCTAAACACTAAACCCTCAAACCCTAAACCCTAAACCCCCAAACCCTAAAGCCTAAACCCCTAAGCCCTAAGCCCTAAACCCCTAAACCCCTAAACCCCTAAACCCTAAACCCTAAACCCTAAACCCCTAAACCCCTGAAGCCTAAACCCCTAAACCCCCAAACCC